ATAGTTCAGGCTGTCTACTGATGAACAATAAAGATCATAGTATTTTGAGTCTCATTGAGTAGCAGGACAATGTCTGGCTATAGTGATCCATCATACCTGAATGCAGTTTTGTAATTCTAGCTTTTATCCTGGGAATTGATTCATCTTCCCTAAGTGACACACAGCCAAAATCAGAGTAATTTCATATGTCTCTTGTAAGCCCATCAAAATTTACTCAACCAGTTTTTACATCATATTCACTCCCAACTCTCCGTGCTGCAGCTCCTTTATTCACTAACTACAGGTGTAGCTGGACGTAACTCTTTTGCAGGAAACTCAGTTATGTCACCACTGGACTTAAGGTACTCATTGTACTCACTCTTGGGATCTGTCACACATACATGGCATGCTACTGGGATACAGAAAAAACAACTAAGCATGAATGTTAAATTTGAATGTTAAATTTCAATATGCTCAGTGACTGCCACAGCTCTTGAGCTGTAATACCAGAAACATGTAAGTATTTTTATATGGTCAGAACAGCTTCAGCAGGGGAACTGGTCACAAACCTACAACGGGGGTTAGTTCTCTATCATTTCACAACTATAAATGAGAAACACACAAGTAGCCTTGATTTTTCAGACATACAGTTGGAATGTTCAAAATCTCACCCACTTTCATAGTTTTCTTCTCAGTTCCATTTGCTCATCCATGGAGGAAGACAGTAATCCAGTTCACAAGCTGTACTTATGGCCTAGCACTACCAATTAGATCCTCTGGGAAATCTAATCTTATGTTTGTGAAGATGAGAGACTGCAACAGTCAGTTCTGTCTAGTGAGATCACAAATGCTGTATCTTCCCAGAGTTACCAAATGCAACTCAGTCTTCATCCACAATGCTCCTGTTTCTTCCATTCTGGTTATCACAACAAACATAACGGACAATTATCCTGAATTATTTGCCAGTTGTTCAGCATGGGAAAAGGACTAGAATAAAGCAAACAAGACCAGATAACATAGATCCTGAGAGAAGACAGCCAAGTAAACTCACAGGAATTACCACCACCCAGAGAGGCAGCACTGAATGTTGGTTTTATCCCACTGTATAATTTTAAAATATTTTGTTTCTGATACATACACAGACAAGTCAGCTTTAGATATGAACCACTGGCCTCAGTTGCCATCCAGGTCAGATAAAACACTTAGATTCATAAAAAGCCTGAAATGCATTTAAAAGATCTCATCACTGTTGTAGTTTTCTACATAAAGGACAGCAAGTACAAGACTAATTTCTTGATTTCTACTGTCCCATGCTGTTAAAATACAAGAACAAATATTAACAAGAAAGACAAAAAGGTGACAGTTCTATAGTTCTAAAGAACTTAACATTTATATGTAACTTTCAGTGAGAAATAATTTGGAAAAAAACTTAGTGCAACTAATTAGGCCCTAATGACCAAATTCTTGGGTGGAAAGACTTGGTGATAAACTGCACACAAAGACACTCTTTTATCCTCTTTTCTCAAACACCACCAATTATTGTGTCCCACTGAATTCTACCTATACAAACACATCCTATTCATACTGCATCTCAAAGAGGCAACCCGAGCTGTGCTGAAACAACTTAGCAGGAGTCAGGTATCGTTTCTGCCATTAGCAAGAGAGGCAGGTTCGTGCTTATCAACTTGCAGCTTTACAAAGACAGCTGCTCTCTGGCTTCCAAGTCCACAAATTACAAGGTAACACTGAAATGTAAACCAAGATGTACTTTTTGTACAATTTTCCTGACAAAACCTTATGTTATGTGCTGTTAAATGTGTTGTAAATGATATACTATATAAATTAGTTGAAACACCTCGTGTCAAGTCCTCTCTACAGCTTATGGTTTGATAGGTAAGCAGAAAAGACAGCCTTTTTTATTTTGTACTATGTGAAAATAGAAAGACCAGACATGCTTGAAAAAGCAGCTCAAAAGTAGTTTTAGAAAATCAAAGAGAACAGCATGAGTAATGAGGATGATAATAATTAGCACCCAGACATGCACAGCAAAATTGTGTTCCTCAAACAGTAACTGCATTATACCACACTACCAGCAAAAAAGTGGAGTGTGCAAATACTTTCTGTTTCGGTAACATATCTCTCAGACACTTTTTCCTTTGTGTTTTTCCTCTTTCTTATGTCCTAAAACATTGTAAAGGAAATGGAATCTCTCCATAAACCTCTAAAAAGATAGTCTTTTGGCTCTTTCAATATTCCACTCTCATGACAAAGCAAAAGCAACTCCCTTCTCCTTTCCCCCATCTACCAGACTCCAAGAGGATGAAGGGACTTGTATCCTTTCTTTTCAGCCCTCATCCCCTGCAGTCATCCTTCTCTCTCCAGCTGGCCAGCACCAAGGGCCTCTGCAATGCTCTCCCATTTAATTCTTGCCTTCAGTGGGGCTGCATAGACGAAACCAATCGCAATTTACCAAACACTTCTAGTCTGCCCAAGGCACCAGACTCCAGCTTGTTCTACATCTACTGTGTCAGCCCTGTGGGGACAAAAACATCAGACATTTCCTTTGCAGCTCAGGACTGATGGGGACAAAGAGTAGATCTATCAAAGCTGATACACAGCATCTTTTTGAGACCAGAATGGAACAAAAGATTATGAAATCACCTATAATAATTGTCCCCTTTCTGGTCTAAATTCCTAAGAGGTGTTTTCCTATCTTCCTAAAGCCATTGTCCTCCCTGTAATGGCTCAGCTGTTAATGTTACTGTCTTTTGAAAGAGGTCACCCTAATGGCAAGCTTGCTTTAGGCATATTGATTCAAGTTCATTAATATGCATGCTCTCCCTCCATTCATTTGTTTCGCTATTTACTTTGAAGTCGCTTTGTTGGAACCTGCACTGCTTTTCTGCGTTAAGAGTCTTGGCTGGCATTTCTCAGCTTGCTGCATCTCTGTTTTTTAACTAGAACGGAAACGGGACCGAATGTTGCAAAAGCTAGTAAATGGCACCTCAAGTGACATTTGGTGCCCAGTTGAATGAAATTCTTGGCCTCCTCACCCTCACCACTGAGAGATATTTTTTCTTCTTGCTCTCAAGTTGCCTGTTTATATTGCACATTTTAGGGCAAGTTACATCTCTGTATTTGTTAAGCATCTGCCCCAGGAGAGTACAGCCCCTCACTGTGCTTCTACAAAAAATAACACCACCTGGGTTACCTTAAGTCTCTTTTTAAATGTTTCTGCCACCTGAAAAAGCTATTTCCAGCATGAGAGGAGAAATCAACTTTGACTCAGATATCAAATTCTCAGTGTGATAAGGGAAAGTGATTCAGCTGTCTTCTTTTATTTTTGACTTGGTGATTCAGGAGCAGCTCATTGTTCGGATGACACAGTCAGTCATAACTGGAAAACTTCTGTGAGGGGGAGGAGTAAAAGCATTTATATAATATTAAGAGGTCACTTCATATTAATATCTGTACCCAAACAGATCAGTATCAATTTTGTCCTCTGCAACAGGCCTATGTCATCCAAGGTTATTTTGGGGTAAAATATTTGGACATGCCATTTTCCTTGAAGTACCCACAGGAACGGTCAGTTAGGTAGTTTGTCTTGAGACTGCACGTCATGTCAAGGTAGGTCTGCTTAGTAGTAAGTCCTTTCCTAGCAAACATGGAAATAGCCACACATCCTTCACAATTCCCTCCTACAAACACTACTTTCTTCTCCACAGTCATCTATTAGAAACACCCTGAAGTATGTGAGAGGAGACGGCCATGAGCGAGACATTGAGCCTGTCTAACTAAAGAGTGAAGACAGTTTGAATAACTAAATTTAGTGGCCTCTTCTGGAGGGCTGCAAATCAAGCAAATAGGTACAAACACCTTTTTTGGCAGATGGGACTCTAAGTCTCTACTAAGCCAGTGCACCCAAACTTCTACAGTTTAACTGAAACTACTTTGACTCTACCTTCAACACTTTTGTTTCCAACCCTTTAAATCCCACTGCGCTTCTTGTGGAGAAAAGTAGCAGTATGCTGAATAAGTATAAAGTAAACAATTCTTCTGCTTGATCTCACAGAATTTTTCAGGAGATAAAATATTTACATATGGAACTGGCTTTTAATCCAGTATAGTTCATTAAATTATTTACAGCACTAGTTTTAACAGGATCCACAAAAGGAAGCACATAGTAAATTAACACAATCAAACAGAGTGAGTGGTATAGAGCAGGAGTCACTAACCCATGTCATGATGCAAAGGGCTGCATATGAGTTCCTGGAATATGACAAGACAGCAGGGCTGACAGGTGGTCAGGAACTGCGAGTCCTGAAGGCTTGACGGCATCCCTCACACAAGGGCCAAGAAGGCTCCAGTTGCAGTAGCATCTAACAGCTTTAACACACGACCTCCTCCAGTTCACACTGTCTACTGGCTTGTGCCTCACTTGATGTAATATAAAATCCATCTCCCAGCTGCTGGCTGAGGCACTTGATCTTGGTCTAGATCTACTGCTGCACAGCCTTGGCTTGTTAACTACGTATTCTCCAAAAGGAGCAGTGACAAGGATGCAATATCATCTGAAAATCCATCACACACTGCAATACAATGAACAGCTGCAAAACAGAACAGCGAGTACAGAAACACCAGTGCTATGAGCCAAAGTGGCCACCTGTGGAGGACTGAACAGTGTAGAGATGAGAGCACACACCAAAATGGTTTAGGTCAGGTTTTTTTTTTTCCAGGTTACCTTCCCTGCTTATTTTCAGCACCTTAAAGTATACAAAATCCATCTCAGCTAGCCCTGAAAATTGCTGGTTATTGCACTTAAAAGTAAAGCTCACTGCCTAGTGTGACCAGCTTTGGTCCTATTCAAAGCAATGGAAAAACACCTAAAGTTCTGTGATTGTCATGTCATAGTCACCTGGAACCTGAAAATGTAATCAGCTCTAATAAGACAATGCCCAACACTTCATCAGCCAAAGAGGAGGACAGGTAAGAGAGCATGCCACAGAAAGGTTTTGACTCACTGTGGCTAATTTCTGAACATCTTCATCGGATGCTCCCAGTGAAGCAAGCCCTATCTCTTGTGAAAACTGTGCAAACTTGGGATCAGCAAGCAGAGGCACATGGCCCAAGAGTTCATGGCACGTATCCCTAAGGGAATGAAAATGAAAAGAGTGTCATCACAGAAATTAATACCATAATAATTACATAATTAATTTAACATAAGCCATTTAACATGGGTCTGACCCCTACTTTAAGTGTCTTTAAATGAAACATGGTTTTTAGTGTAGTAGTTCTTCCCTGTGAATGGTTTCTGCATGTACGTAGAAACAAACATTTGCTTCTGTTAAATAGGTTATACGTCATTTAACCTGTTCTGTAATTTTCTCATTATTTCCACATTGAGTGGGAGAGCCTGAGCACTACTGTCTTCCAGACTTAGTGACATGAAAACTGAACTGCCCAAAGGAAAGAAAGCCAAGTGTCTCACAAGTACAGTTTTCAGCATTTCTCTCCACATGAATCAAGTTCAAAATCCAACATATTCCCTCTTCCTCTTCTCCATTCCCCTTTCCATACCCAGGTAGAGCTCCACACCACATTTTGCTGCTTGGTCCCAGAAATTTGGAGCAATATTTACAGACATTTCTGTGTACTTAGTTTCTCATTTAGTCATGAGATCCTACCGCAATTACTGTGTACTTTTGTTATGCAGTCCACTTTCTCAGCAAATGGATTTAAAAAAAAGCAGGGAACCCAAATCATTTCAGAAAGAACCGCTGTTCACATCTGTATGTGCATTATTAGTCATGACAAAGTACAGCCATAAGTGTACAAAAAACTCCTAACAAAAGTGCACATGCATCATCTATAAAAGCTCTCAAATAATTCTGGAAGTTTTGCTGCATTTGTTCACAGAAAATAATGGACTTGGTAGTAAAGTTCACTTTAAAAATCCAATCTGACATTTTCTTTGCTTTTGTATCTTCAAAGACATTTCTCTTTTTTTTATTTTTTTTTTTATCCTAAGCTGTAAACAAATGTTTTAAAGGCAAGGGGGAAACATCAAGTTTTCTGCCTTCTACCCAAAATCATCCAATTTGTGTTTGATAAACTATTTTTGTTTGAAAAGTCACAGAACCTGACACTTCAGTTAAATCATGAACAGGAAAACAACTTCTATAGTATTTAAAATCTTCTTACTCAGTATCTTCACCAAAAAGTCTGCACCAACTATGTGTAAGCAGATAGCACCAGACATAGTTTCAGAATATGCAAATGAAGATTAAAATTTTTGGTATTCCTAGTCTGCCTCACTAAAAGCTTATTAAATATAGTTCCAGAACTGGACGATCACATACAAGCTTCCCTATCAGTCCAAATGGCCTCACTGACAGATGTGTAGCATCATTTGCTCATGTTAAAGTCACACTTTTTGGTGAGACAAGCATCTTCCTGAAGTCGTGTGTGACTAGTTTGAGCCAACTTCACATGTGAGTAATTCATTCAATGAGATCCCTAGCTTAGATAGGAGTCCCTTTCTCACTGGAACTCAGACTTGAAAAATTGGTTAGCTCCGCTGGTATCCATTTCTTTGTTCCCAAGGTGGTCTACATCACCTGAGTGGATAATCATTAAAGGTTAATGACCCTTTTTTAATTAATTCAGTTCCAGTCACAACAATTTCTTCTATCATCTCCTGCAAGACTTAGCTCGCTAACAATATAAAGGACAGCTGGGAAATGTAGTTTGCAGTCTGACAGATATGCCCCAAGAATTCTCAGCACCAAGCAATTCACTAGAGGAACATGACTTCTCCAACCATCATCTTCCAACACAGAAATGGGTCAAAATGCCCATTCTCTGGAAGCCCAGAACTCCAACTCCAATTCTTGCCTTCACTGAAGAATCAACAGTAATTTCTGAGCACCCATGCCACACTGCATCAGTCCAGATATATTTAGTTTTGTATCAGTAGTTCAAACAACAAAAGCAAAAAAGATCCAGTGGGATTGGCTCCAAGTTCCTGACTCCAGGTAAGCATGCTTGTCTGCAAGCAGGCTTCTGCAGCAGCAACACTGCTACCGATACCTGAGCAAGTGTCTACATCTCTGTTTTCCTGTGCTGAAGCCACAACTCCCAGAAATAAATAAGCAAAAGATGTGTTATTCCCAGTTCTGCCCTGGGACACGTGGTCTTTGTTGCATCCACTTTTGCAGACAAAATGAGAACAGACAAAGCCTAATCCCATTAACTTGTCTCTCCTGGCAAGGGGAAGAGAAGGAGGAGGCAGAAGATATTTTTCTCGTGCCTTTAGCTTGTATATTCTTCCATTAAAACTAGGCAAACTGGTATTCTGCTTGTGCAGTTATAAAGAGGGGAGCTTGAAGCAAAAAGAGTATGAACAAAAAAAAAAAAAAAACAAAACAGAAAATCTTTCAGACAGAAACGTGAACCAGCATTTGGGATTATCATTGGAGCCTCTAAGACTTCCCTGCCAGTCTGTCCCTTTATAGATAGTCTAAACTATATAATTCTTTGCCTAACTACCAAAGCTTGATTCTTCTGTTTTGTTTTATTCAGAAATAATTAAGTTCCTTTGATTTATTCACACACATTGCTCAGAGAAAATAAGACTTTTGTAATGCACTTTTTACAGCAAAAGATTTTTCTTGAAGTAAATTAGTTTGCTGAGCAGAGGAAATCTACATAGCCCTGTGAATGTAGTAGAAACATAATGAAAATCAGGAAGAAATGTTTTAAAATGCATACAATAGTGATACAGATCAAACCAAATGAACTCTCTAATTTGTATCTAGCTCTATAGCCTGGGTGTTAAATCTGATGGAAAGCCCACTGAAGTCAAAGGGAGTCTTTTCACCAGGTTTATATCATTGAAATGTAATATTCACCAGCCAGGGACCTGCAGCAAACCTCATTATGGCCCCATATATCAACCAGTAGATCTCAGGGCATTGCAGCTACTGCAGAAGATGAAGAGCTGTCCCCACTCAAATCAATTTAGTTTTGTCACTGATTTAAAAAAAAAAAAAAAAAAAAGCCAGGATTTCACTCTACATTTCTGGTAACACTTACTACGTGCTCTATGCTATCAAAAAACCCTAAATATTTTAAAAGGGATTTTCTTTCAAATTTTTCCTATGGAGTTCCTGATACTTCGTCCACATCACTTAACTAATGTGAACAAGTAAGTCTGCAAGTAGAGAGTATATCATTAGAAAATGACAGCTTAATTCCTCTCTTAGTCATATTTAGTGGTGTTAAGACCAAGTTCAGCCCAAATAAGGAATAAAAATCTTCATTCTAACTGAACAATAGTTCAGTTCAGAATCTGACTTTCCAGACACCTAGACCAGAAAGGTTACAAAAAAAGCATCTGCCATTACTACTAGGGATAAGCTATGATCCACTGCATAATTCTGAATGTAAGCAGCATCCTGAAAACTACAGGGCTCTCAAATGCACAAACCAAACAATGAACCAGAGAACATCAGCAAAAGCACAGACACACTTAACTGTTTCTTGGAAGATATTTCTTCCTTTCATCCTGTTGGAGTTATATACCTAAATCTCCTATCAGGAGATGAAATTGTTCTTCTAGTTTGTACTAAGTTAATAAATGTCATCATTCTTTTGCTGAACATTGGTACATACTGCAGTCTGAAACTGGCTTCCCACAGGAGAAAAAAATCATTGGTGCAAAACCTGGTACTTTCTAAGTATCATTTATTTTTTTGAAATATCTACAGATATTTTTAGATAAGACTGGAAGAGGTTCAGCATCACATATCCAAGCCCTTCTTTCAGGATTTTACATTGCTGCAATTTGGCTAAAAATTTAAGAGATTAAAACTCTAATTACAAAGGTTATAGAAGTGAGTGAATTCCTTCAGGGATCACCACCTCCTCCCCAAAAGAAACACAAAACTAGCCTCAGAGTATTTCAGCAAATACTTTGCCCAGTTCAGATGCCTAGGAAAAAGGTAGATAAGTGTCTAACAGCACCACCTGGTGACTCCTGCCAGAATAATGCTAGCACGTTTTTGGATGCAGCTCAATATGCAGTCCCATGAAACCTTTTATATACAAAAACATTACTCCATGGTTTTGGCCGTCAATTCATGAAATCCAAGTTAGGCATGAGTCCAAATATTACAGGATTGGAGCTGAATATGTATGTACAAATCCTTTGTATAAATTTGGGCAAAAATCAAATACACTCAAGTAGTTCGAGCTGATCAAACCACAGCTGCAATTTCATGCTAACTGCCTGATGACTGATTCACTGCAAAAATGTCGGTCCTGGGGTTACAAGATCAGCAGATGCCTTTGGTAAAACTACCTCCATATTATCTAACTGACATGTATTGTTCTGTTATTAGTGCACAGAACACACAAGACAAGAACTACAGTCACTTTGATCTTCCTCAGTTTTCATCAAAAGACCCTATGCCAAAATATTTCATACATACTCGCAATATTCTGCTTTGGAAAAGCTGCAATGATGTCCCATGAAAGTTGTAATTGTAAAGTTTCTGATTTCTATCATGTTCCCTGTAACAGTCTTCATATCTAATATTCTCTCTTGGTGAGAGACTAGTGCCTCATGACTTGCTTTCACTGTGTTATAGAAGAGAAACGAAATTCAGCTGGGGAGCCTGGCCCAAAAAAGAGAAAAATGGGAACACAGAAGTCCAAATTATAATTCTAAATGCAATGTTTTTTCAGGAGATTCAGGGCTTTTTTTCACAACTTCTTTCTAGTTGTCCAACAGAAAATAAAATTTTAAATATTTTTTTCAAAATTTCTAGTTGAAAATTCTACTTTCCACTGAAATATAATCCAAGCAGTATTTTTGACCCACTATATCCATAACCCAGTTATTCAAGACTCATGTAAAAAGTCACCAAAAAAAGCCTTTGAATTAAATTCTGGCTCACCAATATGAAGGATTTTGTCATCAAATCCTTCATCAATGTTATCAACGGTGTAAGATTTTCACATTTGAAGGAAGGTAAATTGGCAAAATTCAGTTGGGTCTTTTAAGAATCTAATGAGCGTATTTTTTCAGTACTAAACCAACTTACGGTTCCGGTGTGTAGAGAGGATCTGAGCCATGTCGTATGTACTGAGTACAGTGAAAAACTCTATATGCTAAGCCAGCTAAAAAATCACGGGGAGACAGGTATCCAGCAACAGGTCTCACTGTGAAGCCAGACCTTTCTGAAGTGAAGGAGATAGTAAAAGACCACATTATACATATATCACTACATCAGTTTCTAGTGACAGATCTGTTGTTCATTATTCTACCAGAAGCATGACATGAAGAATCTTGGCTGAAGATCACCACATATTTTCAATTATTATGTACAAAAAGCATTTTGCATTGCTAGCACATGTATAATGAAGACAGCTTTAAGTTTTTCAAAGTTGGTTTGAATACCTTTGTCTGGAAAAAAATGCTAAGGTACCATAAGTGATGTTCTTAATATTTTTATGGGAGTACCAAATGGGAGAGAAGTTTCCATACCAGAAGATGACTTCTGTAAAATATGTTAAAAACTAACAGAACAGAATAGGATTATAACGAATCTGTCATTATTTTTACAGATAAAATATTGCTTGTCACAATAAAATCCTGATTTTTATAGTTGAAGTCCTCATTTAAACATTTAATAATGTTCCTTTATCAGATTAGTCATAGAGGAGAACAGCTTCAGATTCAGTGACTTTAAAAAGCATGTTTCTCTCAAAAACGAATTCTTTGCTCTTTCAAAGTTTTTACAGGAGAATGTTTCAAGTTTTTCTGCAACAGATACTACTACTGCTATACCTAGTCTGAAAACATACTTCTAAAAGAAGTCTGAGATCTTGAATTTCTAGCTAGGGAGAAAGAATTTAGCATCATTCCTTAGAGACCATAATACAATATATAACAGACCCAGAAGGACACAATCAAATTCAAAGAATGATGAATCAGCTATTAGTAAATGCAGGTGTTCACAAAAAAGGTTTATGGATGAAGCATAGACTGAGGAAAGTAAGCCTGTCATTACAAATATTGTTATTTCTTTTAGCTAAGTATTTTCCATATATATTTGGGACAAACTGGTCTCCTAATTACTCTCTTAGTAGCACATAATTTATTTTTTTTCCAAACACCCGCCTCTATAATATTTTAGTTCCTGAGCAAGAGGATTAAGGAGTATGTGTATCTGAGGGGACCTTTGAGAAGAAACTGCTGTGGTTACCGGACCATGGCACTCAGTGCCACATCCAGTCCCTTCTTAAATACCTCCAGGGCCGGTGAATCCACCAGTTCCCTGGGCAGCCCATTCCAATGACTGATTACTCTCTCTGTAAAGAATTTCTTCCTAATATTCAACCTAAACCTTCCCTGGCACAGCTTAAGACCATGCCCTCTTGTCCTACTGCTGCTTGCCTGGGAGAAGAGATCAACCCCCACCTGGCTACAACCTCCTCTCAGGGAGTTGTAGAGAGTGATGACGTCTCCCTGAGCCTCCTCCAGACTAAACAACCCCAGCTCCCTCAGCCTCTCCTCATAGGACTTGTGCTCAGGTCCCTTCACCAGCCTGGTTGCTCTTCTCTGGACCTGCTCCAGCACCTCAATATCCTTCCTGAACTGAGGGGCCCAGAACTGGACACAGTACTCCAGGTGTGGCCTCACATCATGTTTTACATGTTCAGCTATTTAACTTCTCTCAATTTCACACATGCAATACATACATAAAACTGTCCTGCCATGTCAAAAAACTCCCTGCCATGGAGAACATCAAAACCAGAATGATACTTCAGGCTAAACCAAAGACCACTGACAATACTGCAAATCTTTTCATTTAACGTGCTTTGTATTCCGTACTAGGAAAAGAGAGTGTTTTCATTGAATTATATCTATTGAAAAACCAAATATGAATCTTACCTTTAAGAAAAATAGAAACATCTTCCAACTGAGGCACATTATCCTCTCTGTATCCACAGTACTTGGTCAGCAGAGGAAAGTTTTTTAAGTATTCACGACAGGCATGGGTGGGATAGAGTTTACTGAGTTCCCTAAATACCACCCCCCACGTTTTAACTTCTTCAGCTGTGTACTCCACTCTAGGAATGGGTTGACCACTGTAAAAAAAAATAAAATACAAAATACATCTGAATACAACCAGGTTCTAGACAGATTATGGATAGCAACATTTCTGCAAAAAGTGTTATTTAAATGAAGGTAAACAGAGACTATTAAAACTATTCAAACTATTTTAAATTGACAACTAAATGCTTTTTTCTCAGAATTATTTCTTGATGTTATGATGTACATATTCTATCATTTTCTTAAGAACTGTGTTTCTTTTTAAACAATCACATGGTTTCTTAATCTTTGTACATATTATAGCAGAAAGACGGATTTCTTATATGCCATATTCCTGTATCATGTTAGTATTTCTCCAATTATTGCCAATGATGCCTTTGCAAGCGGACAGCTGAAGATCCCGATTCAGTCTAATGTGTAGATTCAGTAAGACAGCAGACTGCATGCTCTATGCATTCTTTAAAATACACAATATTCCCACAGCATCATTACCCAGCATTTGTGAAGTGAAGACTAGGCAATTACATAGATGCTTAGAAATGTATAGATCCAATTAAAAAATATATATTCATTGTTTAGACTGTTGTTTACATGTGCAGATATGTTTGGAATCCCAAATTCATGCAGGACTACATCATGAGGAAGCTCATGCTAAGTCTGTAAATACATCTCTCCTTTTTTTTTTTTTTTAATTCTGGAGTGTTCCTCTGCCCTCTCCCATTAACAAAGACGTACAGAAATTGTAAAGAGAATCCTTCCAGGGTACCTGCTAAACTGTTTCTGACATCCAAGATTTGCCTTGAGTAGTTACACCTAATTCAAAACTGATTGATAGTGTGAACAGTGTGAAGAGTTCCTTCCAACCTGCACTGACTTTTATTTAGCTGTAAGGAATTTCCCATGTCATTGTCATGGGGCATCATCTCATGTCATTAATTCCCCCTAGAAATGTTATAATCTTTCTCTTCACAATCTATAATATGTAATCTCTGCCATCTGCCTTTTCCTCGGTATCTTCTTTTGCCACACTGTAACGATAATGTACAGGCAAAGGGATTCATATGATCCTCCTCCCTTTCATCAGTTCTTATGTCCCATCCCCATTCCAGGGCTGGACAGGTGGGCACTTCCAGCCCAGTACTGCAGCTTCCTCAGTATCCCAGACAACAGTTGAACAGGTATACTGGGCACAAGGAACCCCACTGCAGCAGAAGAACTCCAGTGCTGGGATTTTGCTAGAGGTTGTTGCCCAGTTCATAATCCTGTCTCCACTGTACAAGGTAACAAGGAATGAGCCCTCATGTCACATTTGATTGCTGCTATGCAGTCCCTACATGGACACGAGAGGATCACCTGCCCTACATCCATTGTGGTTGTCCCCTCATCTTTATTGAAAACTTACCATTTAATCCCCCTGCCTTTTCCTATATCAAAGGATTTTGATCCATGGCAGTTATCTGTCAGTCAAAAGCTACTTTGTATGAGGTACTTGTACTTGTTAAGGTCTCACTGAATACCCAATTCATTCACTAGTTTCCTGTCAGAAACTCCTGCAGACACGACAAGAATTGCAACACATTTAGTGAAGTATTTCTCATCCACAGAAGCTGCACTAGGTTTGTGCCTATCCTGTAGTGGGAGTCAGTCCTACAGGTCTAGTATCTGTCTTCCCCCTTAACACTTCATCAGCCTGAAACTGCCTGCCAGCTCATGGAAAGTGTAGCACAACTATTCTAAATTGTACTGTACACAACAGGTGTACAATACAGGAGTAGCAGGTTGCTACTCCATCCCCTCGGGTGTGCTGGAATACCCAGCCTCATCCCTTTTCCTTAGGCCTGACCTCTACTATGGATACTGCAGTATGGGTCAGCACTGGCCCATCACGAAGATACACGTTCACCATTAGAAAAACTCATGTTTCTACTGTCTCTAGAAAGGTATAAACACAATCAAGGATCTGAAGCTTGTTCACTGTTCACTAAAAGGTTTATAACTTAGTTATTGTTTCAATTAATTCATTAGTACTGAAGTAAGGTTCACTGAACATTAATTCCTTAATAGGATTTATGCGTAGGAGAGCTGATCTTACTTCCAGCTGATCACGATACTGCTTTCTGTATCAAGAGAATCAAGGCAGCCAGACTTGAGGGAGGATCTATGCCTTTTTCCCTCAGCCCTGCAAACCTCATTTTTCTTACCCTTGTATTTCAACAAGCAGGACCCACCTTGCACTCAAACACTTCAATAAATCACAGAAATAGCCAGACTGCATAGCCAGCTTCCTTGTGGCTAAGATGACTCTACAAGCTAACCTAATCTGAATTTTTATTTCTCCTTATTAAAACAGGGTCTTTCCATTCTGCCATGGACATGAGCTATCAACTCATATTATAAATTCCCTCTTAAACATCATATGTTTCCTCCAGATTTAATTTTCTCAACACTTTTCCAATCTCTAATCAGTCTCAAAGGACTAATTAGGAAGATTAATGCATTTTCACTATCTTTAGGATAGAAGCTAAGTGAAGGAGGGAGGAAAGTGTTTTTTACAGGTTTTTTGGTCCATTTATTTCATACAGCTGATGTTCACTGCTGTGCTCTATTAACATGTCTTCCCCTTTAACATCCAGCTCCAGCAAATATCTGCTCCTGCAAACTCACTTCTTAGTGTTTTTCTCTTCCTCTCTCCATTATAGACGCCACTTTATGTTCAAACAAAGCAGAGCATCCACCACTGTAGAACAGTCGCAATTCATAAAGTAAATGCTGATCTGGGATTTTCTACTCAACAACTTTTTATGGAGCCAATTCCTTCCAGTCAAATCTCTCTGTTATTTTTTTTTAAGGAAAGTGTGGTTAGGGGTTTTTTTTTTATGCTGGAAAATGAAAAGTAGAAACACACTGAGCTTCAGTAAGTGATTAGGAAGGTCACTTACCTGGAAGACACTGAGAGGTGTTTATCCCCAAGGAAAGCAGCCCTTATAACAGAGCTGGTCATTTTATATAAATAAGTAAATAGCCACTAGACCACAGAAATGAGTGTGATGAAACTGCAGTGTAGAGTCAAGACACCTATAACTCTGAGTTCCACAGCTGGGGTAGCAGAAGCAGCTCAGCTGTAGCAGCACGGAGTCCTCCCTGAGCTGATCTGCCTTTCCTCACAGCAGCTTAGGCTGTGCTGCAGCAGGATGCCAAGGGTGTCTCCCTGGGCCGTCTCTACACACATACCCAGAAACACAGTGACTGCACATATCAGCACATATGGCACATCCCTGGGGTTAAGGATAACTCCTGCAGGAGACCTGAACTGTGCATGACATTTTGACACCACAGGTAACTGCCCTAAACACCGGTCTGCCAGTTATGGTGGTCCCTGGCTAAGAATATTTGAAACCCCTGTTTTCTCTCTGCTCATAATGATAGGACAAGTTTGAAATCTTTTAATGGTTTGGAAAGATCAGTGGAATTAAGGGAGTACCTCCAAGCAGCTCTGCTAAAGTACAAGATCTGGCCCCCAAACAATCTCTGGTTATTTTATTTTTGTATGTGCCTGAAAAAAATGGTTCTTAAGCCTTCAGAACCTAAAGAAGATTTTTCCTTTCCTTTACCTATTGAGTTTTTTTCTGGGAATATGCAGGATTTTATGTGATTTTGTGAAATTATGTTTCTCACTAGTTTAAGGGAAAAAAACCCCACATTTTGAAGCAGAAGACCAACTACTCCTTCGTACACCAGCTGCATGACCTTTCCAGCACTAAGCTGAGAGGAAGAAGGGAGGAAGATAATTCCAGCAAGCTGTGAAATACATGGCACTAGTGCTACTCTCATAGGTAAATGGAGAACTATCCAACTTACTGAAAGAGCCTAGGAGCACACACAGCCTGCCCTCATCCACTTGACGTTTCTCACTGCACTAAATGCCAGCACTAACTTCACTGCAAGCATTAGACCGAAAAAAAAAGATAAAAAAATCAATCAGCTGAAAACAAATACACAAACAAAAAAGCTGTCTCAATTTACATTTGAAAGCTGGTTAAACTCAGGACTTACCTGGGCAGCCTAGAGAGCTTCTCTACCAAGCAACACTCTGCCCCAGCAGGCAGCAGCTCAGTGTGCTGCGAGGATGTTACGAGCATGCAGCTAAACAAACGCCACTGTGGGCAGAAACGGGAACGAACACTAGCACCTACACATTTGTAAGATTGGTAATAGCTTAATGACAGGAATGGGACAAAAGTAAAGGAGAAATATAATCAGAATTATATGGTCACAAAGCAGAGTTAACACTTCTGTCCCCCAGCCTTCTGCAGGCTGTATACTAGCTTTATAATGAAAAACCTTCCAAAATGCAGTTTTGCATGCCTCCTGACAAGATTTGCCTTCTATAAAGGGAGAAAAAAATGGCATATTTCATCTTCTTTAAACAACGTAGGTAGAAATCTCAAAAGAGAAAAATGAAAAACCTGAAGAAGTGTGGTAAAATGAAAAAGAGCATGAAATTAGTATGTTCTTTCCCTTGAGAATGAGTGCTTAAGACTGTTGCAAATAAAACCTAGAGTAGGATTAGAATTAGTTGAATGCTTCTGTGACAAGAAAATTGCAACACAGTAGGTGTCTGTAGGTAGAACAGAAAGTTTCTTAACTTCCAGGGACTGTAGAAATCAAAAATACTGACTTGAAATGGGAAAAAAAATAAAAATGAGAAAACACATGGGCAGTGCATTTGTACACAGCCACCAGCTCCACTGCAGAGAAATGCACTGATTAAATTCTAAGAAATTTGGAGCTGTGTTGGCAAAATTGATAAATGGCATTTTGCAGCATCCAGTATCATCATAGAATTGTTAAGCTTTGTTAAGCTTGGAAAAGACCTCTACAATCATCAAGCTCAACTGTTAACCCAGTACTGCCACGTTTGCCACTAAACCTTGTCCCCAAAGGCCACATACACGCATCTTTTGAACACTTCAGGGATGGTGATTCCACCACTTCCCTGAGAAGTCTACTCCAATGCCTGACCACCCTTTCAGTGAAGAAATTTTTCCTAACATTCAATCTAAACCTCCTCTCATCGTGTCACTGGTTATCTGGGAAAAGAGACCAATCCCCAACTCAGTACAACCTCCTTTCAGGTAGCTGTAGAGAGTGCTAAGGTCTCCCTAAGCCTCCTTTTTTCCAGGCTCAACAACCCCAGCTCCCTCAGCTTCTCCTAAACCCTTCCCTAAATACTCTCTAAACCCTTCACCAACTCCACTGCCCCTCTCTGCACATGTTCCAGCACCTCAATGCCTTTCTTGTAGTGAGGGGCCCAAAACTGAACACAGGACTCAAGGTGTGGCCTCACAAGTACCAAGTACAGAAGGATAATCATTGTCCTGGTCCTGCTGGCCACATTATTTCTGATACAGGCCAGGATGCCGTTGGCCTTCTTGGCCACCTGGGCACACTGCTGGCTCCTTTAGATGCTGTTGAACAGCACTCCCAGGTCCATTTCTGCTAGGCATCTTTCCAATCGCTCTTCTCCCAGACTGTAGCTCTGCATGGGGTTGCTGCAACCCAACCTGGCACTTGGCTTTGTTGAACCTCATACGATTTGCCTCAGCCCAGTACAGTATATGCATCAAAAACAGAAATAGTAATTTTGGTCTTTGGTGAGCTCTTTCAACTACATAGGGATGCTAGATATGTATACTCAGAAGTGTGTCAGTAAGACACACAAACATTTGTAAAATGTTTTCTTAAGTTTAAGCATCTGTGAATGAAACGCTGAAGAGAAAGTGCTTGCCTTTCAAATGTTTTACTTGCCTGTATCTGTTTCAAAAATGTAACAGGATTCAATCATCAGGTTTGTAATTTATAGCCTACACTAAACTAGACCAAGTTTAAAAGATGACTTTGTCTACCGTTAAACTTTATTCTACTGAATTAAATAGAGCATGAATTCTCACTAGTCAGCAGCATGGGGAAGAATTATGCCAGTACTTACTATTTATAGCTCATGGCAAGATCCACAAAGTACTTTCTTCTCTGTCGATAGACATTGTCTTTAAATCCCTTAAGCAAGAAAGAAGAGAATAATTTACAATAAGGACATAAAATTAGCTGTGAGAATTATAAAATAAACCATTACAGTGTTTATTTAGTACTTAGTTGCACTGTATTTTGATTAACACTGTCTAGTGGACTGCAACAGAAGACAAGGATTTCTTCATTTTTTTCTTCACCAAAGTCCCACAGGAGACCATTCAAGACAGTTTTGTGCACAGGTACAGTCATCCAACCACGATGTTGAAAAGGGAAACTTTTTCTTGTCATTTCATCTCATGGAGATCTACATGCAGGCACGTAGCAGAATTTACCTGTCCTTAATACATCTTTCTTCACTAGCATCAAGTGTCTAGAGATGATAAGCAACTCATTTTGAAGATTCTTATTTCAGCAGTTGCCATCTTAACCAACACATTAGAGATTGAACCATCAACATCCAGCACTAAATAGGCACATTGCTTCAGTTTGAGTTACAAAGGAAGGGCTCTACCTCATGGGCTACAGTAGGCTCGCACCTTTTCTATATTAAGTGCAAAAGAGTTATATAGTACATACATACACATATATAGTACATACACAGTGGCTATGTACAGCTCTTTGAGCTATTCAAAATTAGAACAAGATCTCTTCTACACATATAAAATATGCAGACACTTCAGGTTTTGGATTACAAGAAGAGTTAACTTTTTTCAAGGTAGAACTGCCAATCTCTTGAAGATAAAAAGGATAGAGAGTTAGCTAAGTTCTCCAGTTAGTGGCCCACAAAGTGCACTTAAGTTTCCCTTATTCAAAGCTGAAAATTAAAATGTCTTTTTTCCTTACTGCTCACATACACAAACGCAAATCACCGAAGGGAATGAAAAGATGACATGGCTAGATTTGAAATATTTGTATGAGGTTCCATTAAACTCAGAAGACATTTTAGTGCCCCATAACCAAAGCTGTGCTGCTGGGGCAGAGTAAGTGAGGATTTCAGAGGACTGCAGAAAACCTTCAAGCCTCCACTCCTACACAGAGAAGTTTGTTTCTGTAATCTGGGGGAGTCTCCTTGTCTCCTTAATACTTTTTGACATAAATGATGAGTTACTCAGGTGAAGACTATTCGAGACCTGGAAAGTCATGGAAGAGAGCACAGGGGACTTAAATGCCTGTCAAGTGTAGTGAAACTGAGACTGAAATCCTTAGCCAGTACGAAGTGGGTTAGGGCTATGCTGCTGAAGCAGTGCTATCCTTATAGGTTCCGTAGTAAAATAATTCTCTTTGGTCCTCTGGCACCTACATGCCACCGCTAAGAAAAAGTGCAAGTACTTGGAATGTCTTTTTAAAGGCCAGTCACAGATTTACAGGTTTTTACCCCATTTCTAATGCCTAGCACGCTGCATGGTGTGTAAATTACATTTGTAAGAGTTCCCTCAAGGGTAAAATATATATTCATATAATGCAAATGTCTTTTTCTCCTTTTCTGTAAAACTGAAGGCAAATTTTCAGCAGAGTGCTACAGTACTTAATGAAGGTACCAGCTCAAAACATAAACAGTATCTAATGGTCTGTCACAGTCATAAACTCGAAGTTGGAATGAGTTGTCACTATAGCCTCTGTTTGAACCACATTATGCTTAATGGATGAAGATAATCAACAGGCTTTTCCTGTGACGTAAATCCTAGTTTGTCATCAAGAAACATGTGGCAGAAACCAAGATCCCAGAACGTGCTCCCTGATTGTGGGCCCACAATGTGGGAAGGGCTCACACATGGCAGAAATGGCTGGGAACGAAGAGGTGATGATGATTGTTGTGTTTGATACATGGGAAAGTGACATCAGAGACAGCGAAATGGAGCTGCCAGGTGTCCTCCTGGAATGTGTGCAAAGGTGTGAGAAATCTTTGCCTGAGCTCCCCCCATAGCACAAAATGCGTGCAAAAAACACAAAGGAGACTATCACCTACAGCTGGAGTTTAATCTGATTGTATTACAAGACAGTCTCATGGTCAGATATCTTAGTTTGCTGCCTACTTCCTTTCAGCTGGAAGTTTCCTACAATACTAGTTTAATCCAGTTTATTTTAGGAATTAATACAACTGGCTACCACCAGTATCTTTCAGTCAAGTCATCCAGAAGTAGAAACTGGGATTTATAAAAATGGAAAATATTTTAACACAGATGCTTTCAATCATCTGCCATCTAAAGACTCAGAGGTTAAGCATTTAAGGAAATTAGCTGAAAGAAATAAAACAATAACAAAACCATTTTTCTGTGTTTTGCATTGAGCATTTGGCAACACTGCAAACACAGTTTGTGTGAAACACAGGTTCATCTCCTGCCACGAAAGTGAGACACCTTCCCACCTACTGCATTCAGCAGAAGCAGGAACATCTTGCTCTGTTTTATTTTGTAATTACCTCCTGAGTGACGCATTATTCCTTCATAATTCTTTCCTTCATATTTCCTTCATTATTCCTTCATAATTCTTTCTTCTCTGACACCTTTTGACAATATCAGTTCTTACCTAAGAGCTACTCATGGCATAACTGAAGGTCACACTGATCTAAACTCTTTAAAGTTTGAAACCTTTCTATCAACTAGTTAATTTAAAAAACCCCAAGCATTACTGAAGGGGACATACTTGTTAAACAAAGAATAAGTTTTCTGGAGGACCTCCATCTTGTGTATTCTTCTACAGAAAAGGAAAATTAATTTACTGAAACTCCTGAAGAGAGAGTAGTCCCCATCTTCTGAAAACAATCAGCAGTCGACAGGCTTTTAATCTGACTGGCAAATAACCTGAACAAATTATCTACGGGACAATTTTGTGTTACACTTACAGGGTGATCTGCATCCAGCTCAGATCCATACATCAAAACTCTCTGGGAGCATTTGTCCAGTTCAGATATCTTCCTGGGGAACCAAGGGACACATTCAAGATCTGTAGACAACAGAATGCGAGTTGAATCTACTGGAGTAGATTAGGGAGGTACCTGTGCAAAACATTTGTCAGTGTGTAACCAAGTGATACAAAAACAGCCTTGCCTTCTTCGTCAGTCCAGATGTTTTCTGGTGGATTGAGAGTTACGATATTAGTTTGAAACTTGAGCAACTGGATTAGTTCATTAAATTCTTTCTTACTGCAGTCACAGTCCACAAAAATTTCCACCTCAGAACTCCTTCTCTTTGATTTTCGTGATTCAATATGAACCATACTCACATGTTTTTCCTGTGGAAAGATGACATAACAGATGAAATACTGATAGCATATTCTTCAGGAAAGTTTTTCCAGTTACTAAAAGGCATTTTTATTGAAAGTAGTCCCTTTTTTTATTTACAGAATAGTTAGTGACACATAATAAATACTGATGGCAAAAAAAAAAAAAAACACAACCAAACAACTGTACGGAAAGTAAAAATAAAATTATTATAGTTAATAAAGAAAGCAAACTAATGATTTCATTTTATCTACCAAGACAATGTCTTACAGAGGACAATATAACATAATTTTTTTAAAATGCAATTTTATATTATTAGTTTTACATTGCTATATTAAATTCTAATGCAATTTTATTAGGCAATGGGTATAATAATAATGTTAATTTAAATAGACTTAAGTGTACTTCTTTAAATAGATGCTATTAAACATGTACTACTTCAGTCTCTCTTATGAACATGTGAGGTAGGAAATATTTTTGTGAGAATGTGTATCAGTCCTCACCTATCTATCGTGCAGCAATTATTGACAGCAAAAAGCATTAACAGTAATAAAATTGTATTAAAATGTAATTCAATTTATTTTGTATTACAATGTCCCCATCGAACACAAATCATACATCAAACATGACAGTGTAAGTACTTCTAGCATGAAAACTTTCCTCTGGGGTATCTCTCAACCACAACTACTGATCTGCCAAGGGTGTAACACAATGACAGATAACCACAGTGTCCTGATCTAGTGCTAGGACAGCCTTGCTTCTAAACAGAAGGTTGGATTAGATGACGGCTTTCAAACAATACTTCTACTGACTCTGATTTTTTCCCTTCTTTTGGTCAGACAGAAACTCTTACTTTTCACAACTATCCTTTCACTTAGTGGAGCCAATAAAACATTTTCTTATTTCCAAAGGGGACGAACTTTGTTCTTTTACTTCCACTTGCCTGCTGTATTTTACATAAACGGTTAATACAATTTTACATAAGTTTACATAAATACCATTTCAGATGAAGGTCTCCTCTGGTACAGCCAACTAGTAGTCTCTGCTTTTATACCTCTGGGTGTACATACATAATTCTTTCACTGGCACGCTCCATAACGTGTATATGGTGTAGCTAACCCAATCACATAACAAATTCACTCTGATCTACCCTAGGTTAAGTGGAGAACAACACTCCGCACTACCCCCTCCAATAATTGTTGTGACTACGTGAATGGGGGTGCAATTTAGATTTCAAACTGCTCTCTGCAAATGCCTCCTTTCATTGTGGCCTGCAAAGACTTCAAATCTAACTCCCAGTGTTGAGAGTCACACATCAGAAACCTAAAGTGAATGGTGTAAACATCAGCATCACTGCTAAAACTTCATTCCAGAAAACCCTTCACAAGCCCAAAATGCTTCGCTGAATGGTCCAGAAAATTTTAAGTTACTTTCACTCAGTTCTGCAGAGTGAGTGTAACTGCACTCCATTCCTTCTGCCACAGTCCATTAGATTTATACCAACAAAGAGTCTGACCTCAGTAGCCTTCATCAGTTCAGTCAGTGTACAGATTTGTAAGCTTTACCTGGAAGAGTCGGAGAGCTTTCACCAATCCACCAACTTCATTCTTCAGGGAAAACACCACAGCTGTCTTTCCACCTTCAGAAACAGATTCACTTTTCCCATTTCCCTTATTCCCTCTCTTTTCCTCATTTTTCCCAGAACTCGACCTGTTTAGCTACAAATGGATAAAGAACATGATCATCTCAGATGAAATTGGGCATTTCCCTCAAAGAGAAATTTTTGCTGGAAAATAGCTGAACAGAACTCATCCAGACTTTACTTATTCAAAAGGTAGTATGTTTACTTAAAATCAGAATCACAGGTCAAAGGCAGCTGCTAGAGATGACTATGTAAGGCATAAATACATTAAAAAGAAAAACAAAAGCTTAAGGAAAACCACATGAACGGGATACAAATATGATGGTATTACTACGGCAATACTATCATCAGTAATAAACATGAAGCAAATGGAGACACTCTAAATTACTGGAAAAGCCAGCAGCTCTGTTATTCTAACCTGACTATTGCTGCAAAATTGCAGGGTTGCTATTCTAACCTGTACCAGTCAATTTACGAAGATTTGCGTTGGTCTGTACGTTTGTATTAACCATTAAATTTAAAACATAAACGTTATGGTCTCTGTTGCAGTACAATCAATGCTGTCATGTAACTTTTCCTGAGAAAACAAAACCTCTGTTCATTATACAAACAAGATGGAAATACAAGCTTAGACTGCACCACAGAATATCAAGTTGGACGGGACCTCAAGGATTATCTCGTCCAACCTTTCACAGCAAAAGCATGGTCTAGACAAGAAGCCCCAGCACCCTACCCAGTTGAATCTTAACACTGTCCAGTGTGAGGGATCCACCACTCCTCTGGGGAGATCATTTCAATAGCTGACTGTTCTCATTGTGAAAAACTGTACATCCCATAAAAGAGGAGTTAGTGGAGGAACCCAAAAAACATACAGAAAATTACACCATCCTTTATGACTCCTACATTCTTCTCACAATCTGGGAGTCAAAGACTGCTTTAAATCAAATTTCAGCAAGCATTTTCAAAAAAATGTAATTTTATCAGCTTAAATCTTGTTGAGGTGCCAAGAGTACAGCTTTTATAGACAATTTTTATAAGATTGACCATGATTTTCGAAAAACAGCCTGCATTTTCCAATACCCAAGTTGTGACTCCTGACAAAATTGAATTTCCAGTGAGATGCTGCTTTTTTATAATCCATAATACAGTCACTAAAAATACAAAGATAGAAATTTTAAATCATACAACTATTTGACATGGATTGAACTGTCCTTTACTAACTTACAAAGCAGCTTACAGAAAATAATCTGAAAATCAAGCTTTTCAAACAGGTCTTAGAACACTCTTTAAATAGCACAGGCTAAACCAGCCACTTTTAAACTAAGAGGTTTCCATGGTCTTTTCTCATCATTTATTAGATGACATGGAAACAATCTGGAAAAGCAATTACGTTTGTAGAATGATACATGAATGGTTTCACGTATGTTTATTTTTTAGCAATTGATCTTATACGATCCTGCTCAGTAGGAGATTTGCCCAGGGATAGTTATGGGGAAAGTCACTTTTAACTTTCAGTAATATTTGGGATTTGACTCAGTCCTTTTCATATAAATCCACACGAAGCAACAAAGGTGTCATTTTTATAGCATCTGTGTTTTTTCCATCTGTGCTGCTTCCTAGAAGCTACAAATTGATGATCATGGAGTAAGCTGAGTGTCTGAGAATCTCAATATCGTGAATTCCTCTGGAAAACAAGGGCACTTGGTACCTTTCAAGACTGTCACAGGTTCCCTAATGCTCTCATGAAAGCATTAACCAAAGTGATGACAAAACCCTCTCAAGCATTTGAAACCTGTTTGTTATGATCCCAGTAGAAGAGGCTGAACTCAAATCTTATGAGCCCTGCTAATCAGTACATTTCATAATTAAATAACAAGTAAAAGATCAACTTTCCTAATTAAAATTAATTATCTGAGGCAAGTGCAAGTACTCAGCAAAAAAAGTCATCTATAGTGGAACTCAGTGAAGAAAGTAACTCAAATATAAAGACAATAAAGCAGATTTATTCCATTTAATTCAATACTTCCAAAAGAAGTAGAGCATGTACAAATAGCAATATTCCACATTTCAATATAAAGACAATACGCCAGTTCACAACTGATACAAACTGGTGCATTTTGTTGGTTCTACTCAACTGATCCAAATCTTCATATGTTGCAAAATTCTATAGGAGGCAAAATCATTAGTTAAAAAAAAAAAAAAAAATTCACACATTCAGATCAGGTTGCCGTGTTAGTCCCTATTAATATTCTTTATTCTTATTTAGGCATATGTATATTTACCTGTAAACATACAGAAGTTTATCCCCTGCTTGAAATGACCCAAGCACCTGTTGAACCCATGCCATCACCTTACAGAGAACTATTTCTACCTCCTGACAGGGTTTTCAGCAGTCTCTGCACGATGCTCCCAGTTGTCCTTGCAGCCCTGTCACTTGGGCAGAGGCCAACACAGCAGCACAGCCATCGGCACCAATGCAGTGAGTGCAGGCGACTTGCGTTTTAACAAAAACGCTTTATATATCGTCCTGTGATGTTTACAAGTGCCTTGAAAAGGCAGGTTCCGCTGATGCAAACAGCCAGCAGGACTTACCACAGACTTCCAAAATCCAAGCATTTAAAACCCTCTGTACGGGACCCCGCTGCTTTTCTGTTGTTCCAGTAGCAATAAGGTTTCTTTCTGTAGTAAGGCTTTTATTACTAATGAAACTTTTTCTCTTATTTACAGACACTTTTAAGGCAGCGCTTTAAAACGAGGCAAAGTTAATTTCACCAGCCCTTGCAACTGCTGAAGAACTCCTGGCTTGAGCACGAACAGAAGCGGAGGGGGACGCGCAGCGCCCGGCACCGGGTCCCGGAGGGGCCAGCGGACCCGGCCTCGACCCACTCGGCCGCTCCCCCCCCGCCCCCGCCGGGGTCGGGGCTGCCCGCTCCCAGCCCCGCCACTTACGGTGAGGCTGCCGGCGGCGGGGCGCTCCTCCGGCAGCGCCGAGTCCAGCGAGAAGCCCCTCCGCGCCCAGTACTTACTGGAGAACATCATCATGGCGGGCTGCATGGGGCCGGCGGGCGGGCGGGGGGCAGCGCCGCGCTCTGCCCGCCTCGCCCGCCGCCGCTCCTTTTATACGCCCCCGCCGCGGCTGATGGAAACACGATTAGGAGACTCCCGTCTCCGGGTGACGAGAGCCGGGCAGGCGGACGCCCACGGTCGCCGCTCACCTCCGCCGGGACAGCACAGCACAGCACAGCACAGCACAGCGTGGGAAGCGAAGCCGCCCCGAGCGCTACCCGGCCCCGCCGCCCCACGCCGGCCAGAGCCCCCGGGCAAAGCTGTGCCCACAGCAGCCGCGGAGGTCCCGCCGCCGAGCGGCTGCCCCCGCACGCCCCCGGGGCTGCCCTGGGGCGGCACCTTCATTTCCCCTCACACCTTCGCCGGGCGCGGCTGCGGCGCTCCGAGCCGCGGGCAGGGTGGGCAGCCAGGCAGGGCTGGCAGCACGGGCGTGCTGGGACAGGGCCCAGCAGGGCAGAGAACTGCGGGAGCTGAGCTTCTGCACAGGGAAGTTGTGCAGAGATGCTTTGAAAGTTATATTAGGGGATAGAAATTAGATCATGTACTGAAAGACTTAACGTGCCTTGTATATTGTCGGTAGGTTAAGTCTGACTGCAGGGAAGTACTTCCCCTGAAAATGAGCACTTCATTAGAGAAAGCTGTTTAAGTGAGGCAGCAATGCTTTATGCCTGAGCTGTGCAAGGGCTAGATGCTGACCGTGAGACTTTCTTCTAACGACAATATCACTAAAACAATTAATTAATTGTGAAGGTAAAACAATCCCATAGTACTCCTGAAGATCTTTTATATGTATGACAACTTCACTTGTCTCTAAAATACTCGTGTCTTGGGGTAAAGATTTATTTATTGGGGTTAAGAATTTGTTTACTCCTTAATTTCAGACTACTACCAGAATTTTAAGTGAGCAGAAGGCAACCATTGAAACAAGAACTTGGCTGCGGTGTTAAAGGTACTCAGTCTCTCAAAACTACTTACATTCTGAGGTCAATGCTCATTTTGTGACCTGCCACTGTCACTTGCTCTCCCACTTCCTCCCCACTTATACCATTTTCCAAAACTTCTCCACTACATCCTTTGAATAAACCTTACAGCATGTAGCACTGAATAGCACATCTGGATTGGAAACACTGTGACCAGTTTCCTTCAAATACATACAGTTTTCTCTGCTCCAGGTGGGGGAAACTGTCACCATTTCCTCTTGAAAAGCACCATCCGTGACTGACCCTGCAGCCTGCCCAAAGAGGGGCAGCCTAGCTGAATGCAACAGCTGGCTTCACATGGCCCTGAATTGGTATGCATACAGATCACACAGACTGAGCAGGAAAAGTTGAAATCAGATCGACTGAGGTGGGACACTGAGCAAGACACGGGAGCTGCACAAGGCAAATAGCAGGAAATGTCACTGACAGCACAAAGCTTCATGTCACACCTAACTCAGCCTTCCTTCACAACCTCAAAGCCCTTACTTTTGCGAGACTCAGCACCTTAGCACTAACATTTACATATCAGCATTAGCAGGGAATTTGTCTTGTTCTTCTGCAAGGCCAACACAGAAGCACAACAGAAGATTTGAGACTGTTTCTCCCATGGAGTAGCGTGGAATCCTATATTTTATCATAACAAATAAAAAACCAGCAAAAGCTTCCAGGCTAAACTGACTGCTGTCAGTCAGATGTCCTCCCTCTAAAACCAGATAGTCATGCTTGATGTTCAGGACCAGGCCAAGTTCACAGCTGCCTCAGAACTCCTGGGAGACCTGAAGTAAACCCTTTTAGACTCACCTTTCCAGAGTTTCCCAAGTGTAGCATGCAATAAGGATCCTTTCATTTGGTTGATGCTAAGTTTGTGATAACATTTCGTTCTTCTAACTGCTCCTTTAGTGCAAATCAATAATTTTTGTTATGCTAGTCCACAAAGTTTTACTTCATTTTCCCAGTCAGAGAAAAGCATGTATCTCCATGTATTATTAGCTCAGTGTCATATCCTAAGTTATCAAGATATGTTCCCTGTCCTTTTTTTTTATTACTTTTAATGATAGGAAAGCAAGTTGGAGTCTTTGGATTTTGATATTCCTACCTGCTGTTCATGAGATACATAGACACCGTTCCAGCAGTTGAACAATTCATGAGAGTAAGGCTGCTTAGCACTCTCCAAATGCTCCAGTGACAAAACCGAGCAGTACTGAGCTGACTTTTCAACTACTGGCCTGACAGAACATGATTTTATCTACTCTTAGATGCTGGCTCTGCAGCTGGGACATCACACAACTCAGTGACCCTACTACTTGGTAGCCTTGCTACTATCACAGCTCTGTGCAGTAACCAGAGCACAGCAAAGGTTTTCTGTCTCTCTTAAGCTCTTCAGGATGACTCATGAATGAAAAACAAACAAAGGTACATTGTGTCAGCAGGTGCTCTGTAACAGGTAGGGAAGACTCAAGTGCTTCAACTATTTTAACCATGCTGTCTGCTCCTGTATCCCACAGGGAGATTGCTTCTCCCTGGAGAAGTATTGCAAGTATTTTATAGGTGGACTTTTCCATATCAGTGCCACATCAAAGAACATTTATGGACTGAGAGTTTATTTCTCCTTTGTTGTAACTGCTGTACAATAGAGCTGGTATATGGCTTTGGGAATACTGCTAGACTACAGATTTTGTTTAGAGCTCAACTCCTTTTTCTATAGTTAACAGTGCTGTATATGTAAAACAAGTGAACACTTAAAATCACAAAACACTTAAAATGCAAAAAATTAGAAGTGTATTGAAGCAATTCAAAATTATGTGTTCTAGAACATATGTCAGGGTGCCACACAGCAATGTTTTGTCACCTTGGGAAATAGAGCTAATGTTGGTAATAAGAAAGAGATAAGTTTACTTTTATTACTAAAAGGCACCTTATTTGCCTATAATCAGAATTCAGAAACTGCAAGGTTCTCTTTACTTTACACACACACATTTTCCTATCTTCTCACAAGACAGTAGAGTCACTGTTGCCTAAAATCCCTAGCTATGCACTTTTTAAGCTTAAAAAATTGCTGAATTCTCAATTGAAAATTTAAAGCAAACCTGTGAGATGTTTTCAATGTTTGAGTCACTTCCCCCTGCTGGAGATATCGACGGCCCATTTCAGCGTAGTTTTCCTTAAAACCATTTGTAGCATTTACTGTAGTTTGATTGAATGGGAGGATTAAATTTGCAGTGCAGAGCAGCTAGTATTAACCAAGAAACTATCTGAATTTACCTCTGGCTCTCCCAAATCATCAAGTCATTGTCCACAGGTACTACAGCAGGAAGGAAAACTCTAAAGTCATCGTGTGGCAGGACAGAGAAAGAAACAAAGCCATGAAAAGATATCAAAAAAGCATAAAGAAAGATGGACTCCACAAGGATCTTAAGTGAAAACAACAACATTATTCAATGTAAGGTCAAAAAGGCAAGGTGGAAAACAGATGGGCTTATTAATGTAAGAGATGCTAACACAGGCAGAAAAAGAAGTGTCAATACCTAATAAAATCATAACTTAGTTAGCAAAACAACGTCTTTGTGAAACAATTGACAAGTGGACTAGCCAAAGGAGCTTTTTCAGCAAGGAAAGAAAGATGTACAATCTGTTCCTGCTTATCAAACATACCCACACCAACTCCAAAATCCATTTCTCTGAGTGATGTATGTGTCATGAAAAACCTGTGATGAAAATGTACACTTAATTTTTAAGTCATGAAGATATGAGAAGCACAGGTTTTCTAGCAGCCAGCAAAACCATCCCAAGCTCTAGTAGCACTAAGGGGATTTAATCAACTAACAGCTATTGGGAAAGGATAAATACCAAATGATAGACTGGCTAGGAAGACCTGGAAATACAGATAATATGATGAACATAAAGTGGATTCACAATCTTTGGCTAAAGAAAGGTTCTGAGAAAGAAGCAGAAACTGACAATTTCAGAAAAAAAGAACTTCAATAAATTCAGTTATTACAAGTCCCAAGGAAATGAAACCTAGAGCAGAAAGACAGTTCTTTCCTTGCTTCAGGAAAAAAGTAGTTTCATAGGGAAACTATTTCATTATAGAAGAGGTGTGGTGTTCTACTACACTTTTACTAGTAGTATTGTAAATCATTAGTTTGTCATTACCTTCACTTCAAAAGAGGTATGTATACGAGATGAAAACTAGGACCAAGCTAGTAAATGCAGACAGCACAACACATATAACAAAGGCTGTAGTACAAAATTCAAAATACAGGACATTAAAAGCAACTATTTTAAAAATATAAATACAGCAGCAATCAGAACAACTGAACTATCAGACAACTGCTGAACACAAGTAAAGGACAAAGCAGAAAATAAACTTGAAATTAACTAAGTATTTAATGCACTTGTTTTACATCATTCTTTGCTAAAGAATCATCTGTGACCAGGTGTCTATCCTAATTAATAGCAAGGGCAGAGAGGTAAGCTCTTTTCTTTTAACAAGGTGAAGCGATGTTGGAGAATACTTGGGATAAGTCTGACCATAGTAAATGACAGCACAGTAACCACACTTCCAGAGCAGGCTCATTCAACCTCTGCCATCAATAACTATATTAAGAACTCAGGGGATGGACAAGCGACAAAAGACTGGGAAAAGGCAAAATAATGTCACTTTTCAAGAAGATAATGGGGAGAAAGAAGCGATGAAGAATTATGGACCAGTCTAATTTCATTTGTTTGAGAAAACAGAAGTACCAAAATTATTTGTAAAGATCCAGAAGATAACAGATGATTAAACAGTCAAGACGGATTTGCTGAGAACAAATTGAGTCAAGCAAATCTCATTTCCTCTTATGACAGTCCTGTGGACCAAGGCAAAACAATACACATCATTCATCTTGATGGTAGGGAAGCATTTGGCATGGTCTCTCATAACATTCTCAAAAGAGATAGAAGGAAAGCAGGCACAGATGAAACAGTTATATTGTACCATTTTGCAGCTCCTTTATGTTGTTATCTATACTCTGCACAAATCAACCATAACAGCATAA